GACGAGGACGCCCACACCGCCAACGCCTCTGCTGTCGCATGTTCCGAGGAACAGTTCTTCTCCAGTCTCGTATACGGCGGGCGATGCCTCCTCGTCTCGGTCAGTCCGATGACGTCGTACTTGATCTTCCTGGCTTGCAACATCAGATCTTCGATGTGAGCTTCCGATGCAAGCGTCCGTGCGTTGAAAGTACAGATCGTCATCCTAGTCCTGGGCGACTTAAATCTCCGTTGGCCCTGTGATTCTTGCAGCCTCGAGCGGTCCCAGCCGACGTCGCCCTGTCGGTGGTTCCCTCAGGTTCAGGGGAATGAGGCCCATATTATTACTGTTTTCGGCGAGAAGAAATTTGACCACGCGTAGCTCGCCAGGCTCTGACGTGGCACCCTCCGCATTGGTACGGTTTAGTACTGTTTGGAACAGTATAAAGTGTTCACCCCCTCCCCCCCCCACGTTGAGGCTGTGGATAGGATTTGTGGGGGTATGTAGCCATTATGAAAACAGCGAAACTTTGTCTCACACTGGCTCAATCGCATTGGAAGAAGCCATCGTAACCTCGCAAAATCCGAGAAGATCGAAGCATTGAAGACGATAAGGACGACCGTCGAATAAAAGAGCGAAGTGACGATGGAGGAATGGGTCAACGAATCTATGCACAGCTTTACGTCGTGTACGAAGCGTTAGAAGAATCGAAGAAGGAAGCAGAATCGCCGTCGTCTAGACAGCATCTCGAAGTGGCAGTCGAGACGTAAGCTAAGAGGACCGTTTTGCGCGCAACTCATCGGAAAGAAAGCAGAAACGGAACAATGAGTGGCGGATGTTTGACTAGATGAAATGAAATGAATTAGACGAAGATAAAATCATATGATCGAACACTCCTATCCACACTAACTATAGCAGCAGCTGCTTACAAAGTGCCGGCATATCTACCAAGGTTGGAAATCCCCAAATTCTCAGGACGAAGAGCTGACTGGGACAACTTCTGGGCCATATTCTCCGCAAATACACACGAACAGAATATCAGCCCTATGCTGATAATTCAACTATTCGTGGCAGGAGAGGCACGAGCACTGATTTCAAGATACCAGGTCTCAGAAGAAAACTACCCGGAAGCCATTCCTTGTCTCATGAAGAAATATGGGGATAACGACACAAGGATAGAAGAGCTCTTTGCGGAAATCTACAATAGCAAAGCAGAATGGAAAAGCACCAAATCCCAAACCGAACTACTGGAGAAAATATCAGCAACGATGAGCCAACTAGCCCCGTCGGATGCTACTTAAACAATTTTCAGCAAGTTCGATGCTGATATTCGAACTAGAGCACACGAAAAACGAGCCGTTCTGGATTCGATTCCAAGGGACTAAAGATGGTCGCCGAATGCAAAAGGAAGGTATTTTTCATCGAAGGCACTATATCTATACAAGCTACTTCTTCGTTGTCTTGGCTTTTCCTACTTAGCAGTGCCAGACTCGTCTTCTCGTAACAAGCTTCTCGGCTTGAAAACTCTTTCACTAAGGAGGAAAGTCAACGACATCGTAATGATCAACAAAATCCGCAACGGTCAAGTAAAGGTTCGGTGCAGCGATTTTTTCCAACTAACGCCGTCTAATACCAGGGGAAGTATGATGAAATTAAATTTTGCGGCAGCTCGCAGCGGACCTAGACGTCATTTCTTCGTTAATAGAGCTGGGCCTATTTACATTCGCTTGGACAAACGTAAAGCGCTCCCAATCTCACCCAGTATGCTTAAGTCTTATCTTAAGCGCATACTTAATTGACGATGTAGCTGTTTCCCCGCGCTCGTTCTAGACCCAGTTCAATCTAAGTGTCATTCACTTATCTCAGCTATCATGTAATTCCCATCATTTGTGCAAACCAACCATCTTCAGTTGTTCGCCATACCGTTGTTCCTTTTTATTTATTTATTTTTTTTTTGTTTTGGTTGTAG